GATCTGTGCATGGGCGTTTTGATGTACAATTCAACTCCTCATAGTACCACCGGTGTAGCTCCCTCTGTTCTTATGTTTGGTCGAGTGATGAAGGACAAACTTCCAGTTTTTCCGGGTGGCTACAGCAAGATTTCAGAGGAAGTGAGGGATAGGGACAGGGAGCAGAAACATAAAAGTGCTGAATACTGTGATCGCCGTCGCCGAGCGAAGCCGCGACACCTGAGAGCAGGGGATACGGTTGTCGTCAAACGGATGATCAGGGATAACAAACTCGCGTCGAATTTCGGTCCAGAAGAATTTACAGTTGTAGAACTAAAAGGGTCAGATGTAACGCTGAGCTCGAAACATTCAAATCGAGTTATTCATAGGAACATTGCCCATTTGAAACTGTTAGAATCAAACGATGACGATACAGAAGAGTCTTCGAAGGGAACCGTTTCAGGAGATGGATCAGAACAGGCCGCGCTTTCAACAGAAGAAGTAACTTCGACAGTAGATGTTCGACCCCGTCGTGAAATCAAGAAACCAGTCCACTTGAACGATTATAAAGTGAACAGAGTGAATAACTTTGGAGAAAAGGATGAGTTGTAGAGTATTACTAGCCTCCGGGCTAAATAAGCTCAGCTTCAGGGAACAGAGAGTTAGAAACACGATGAGCTGTAGGGGGTTCTGTCATGAATAAAGGGATTCTTGTGTATACGGCGTATGAGTAAACACGTTGTTTTATTTTGGTAGCGCTCTACATCACAGAAATCTGCACTAAATCGTCAAGATTTGTTTATGTGCTGCTCCAAACCTGGTGTCCGGAACGCTAATTTCATTCTGCTTGCCGTAGTAATCCCTATATAAACTTTAAGCCAAAAGCGCCAACTCGTGTTACATCCGAATGAGCTGAAATTTTCAGAGAGTGGCTTATTACCCGATGGTTTGCTCGTTGAAAACAATGATAAACAAAAATTCCATATAAATGTGGGTCAGTCTACTGTTCCCTTAGCAATGAAGTACACTGAACTTTTCTCCAGTATCTTCCAAATAACTCTCTCCAAATCTTCCAGGCCAACCTTCAAAGTAATGTTGTAGATTACGGAACTCTTAGGAGAAATTACCCACGGCCCATACAAATTTTAAAAATTTGGTATGGACAGTTCTCTACGCAGGGGGAAGGTGGTCGCGAATCCCAAAAAACTGTCTACGTAGTTAATGAACAGCCCCTTAGTACTCTAAGTTTACTCCTACTCCTCCTTGAGTCTCCCCTTTCCGATAACGTCTCTGGTCACCCCAGTTGATGCAGGACACCGAGTTGGCAATTATCGCCAGCAGTAGCACATCGCTCAGGAGGGGATTTTCATTCGCTGGCACATTAGCGCCCCACTCCAACCGGCTTCGTCGTCATTGTTCGTCAGATAGCTGTGCTCAGTGCTTGCCTGATAATGAGATTAATTTTCTTAAATGTGTACAATCGTGATCCGGTGAAAGTCTCCGACTGCTCAAGTGCCATTGTCTTTCTTATAATCTTCATTTGTTTTGATTAGTGGAAGCCGATTAAACTCTAGAGTCAAAGATTCTGCTGGAACCATATTTGTCGGTCATAGCATTTGTTAAAAATTCCAATGCTGTCAGTAGAGTATCAATTTAACTTTTTTTTTTTTTTAATTCCACTCTTCATCGACGTCGACCATGACTCTGCCATGGCAGCGATGCCGGAGACAAAATAGAATTATTAGAATACCATCTACTTCAATCTGCATACATCTCATATTCCGTCACACTCGGTTCGGAGTGAAGTCCCTAGCCACTCGACCCGGGACAATCTTTTTTGCATTTTGCTCGTGTTCCGGAACGATTTTCCTATAATGTTGCTGCTGCTGCTGAACAATACGTCGCGATAAAGCGACAAAAGGATGCCACCAGCGTCGTTCATATTCCCATGATGTGCACTCTAGTTGTAGCTAGGAGGAATTGAATCCGATGGCTGAGCAGGAATTTCGCCGAAAATGTGAAACACATTTTTCAACAGGGCGAAGCATGTTCAAGGGTGGATATTTCCCATATTCCGATACAGGGCGTAGACCAACGAGCCAAAGCAAGTTTAGTCAGAGCATAACGAAAGGGAAAGTCTCCTATCGATGTCGTCATCGTCGTACATAGTTATGGGATTTTTTTATGGGAAAAGACATGAACCTCCCCGGAGAATGAGGTGGAAGGTGGACTAATAATCTATTTATGTGGATGTTCAAACATTTCATAATATCCATCCATACATCGATCGGTATGAATATGAAACGAGCTATTACATATTTTATTGGAGCGCTTTTTTGACTGGGATCATTTTCTTTTATCTAAGAGATGAAACGAATCGATGAATGCTGTGTTCGGTTGTGATGAGGAATAAAGTTTTTATGCCAAAATTGAGACAGAGAGCAGTGACTTTGATATCAAATTTAGTGGGGTTAAATGGTAGACAGACTGTGTCGTTCGATCGAAGCGCGGGAGTCGAACGGATGAAAAAGCTTTTGCTTTAATTGGGGTTGCTTTGGGGGTTCATTGGAATACTCTCATTAGTTTGATTGATTGCCATTAGAGGCATCCGAATTTAGCTTAGAAAAATAATGGTCACTAGTCAGTTGATTGATAACCGATATTCTGTGCTCAAAATATTTGTATGGTTACCCTAAACAGTGGTTCTAAAAGGTGAGTCCAATATTAATTGATCTCTGTCTTAGCTCATTTAATTTATGGTCAAATGATCAAATTTTCCTAATTAGAGAGATCAATGTAGACTGTATTTTCACTGTCACAGCTTTTCGCTCGTTTCAGCAAAAATTCCTGTGTAACGGCTTTGATGAATGACAAACAAATAATCAAGAAAGGACCCTCTAGTGTAGAGCTACCTATACTCCGTCCAAGTGTTCTACACGATACTCCTTTAAGCTGGGTTTAGACAGGGCAAGTCAATTGATCAAGTCAGTTGAATTCAACTGACTTGAATGCGAATTGAACGTGTAAACCATGCCATTCAACTGACTTGATCAACTCACTTGACTTGAACGAAAGTTGAGCCAGTCTCAACTTTTTCGTTCAAGTCAAGCAAAAAGGGAAAAAAGGAAAATGGCCGCTTCTGAAAATCTGCGTGCACATCATCAAAGGTTAAACGAATTGGTGGTATTCTTTAGTGAACTTGTACGATTGGTCAACATCGAAGTCAACATGTCGAGGTGGTCCGAAGAAAAGTCGCTAATATTTGTCCAATACTATGGAAACTATGGTTGTCTATGGGACACCAGCAGTGAACAGTACAGGAATCGTGATGCACGGAACCGGGCGATACAGTCATTGATACGGGACATGGCCGGGTCCGGCATAAATATGACAGATACGGAAATAAAAACAAGAATAAAGGCCATACGAACAACGTATACTGCAGAGAAAAGAAAAATAAATAAATCAAAAAAATCCGGCGCATCTACTGATGATGTCTACGAGCCAACATGCTGTTGGTTCGAGGAAGCAGATCGATTCTTACGAAGGGTAACTGATGTTCGTCCGGTCTTTGAAAACTTGGTAAGTTTATAGCCGCCAATATAATGCAACGATCAAGTTACGGTCATAGAAGGAGCAATTTGTCTAATCGTAATAATTTTCAGGATCAGCCGTCGGATCTGAATTCCCAGTCGTTTCGTGAAAACCGGGAAACAACGTCGAGCCAACTTCAGGTACCATTGAAAATAAATTGTTCTGGAACAAATTTTATTACTACTTATCGCATATTTAGGATTCACCGGATTCACCCGAGTTGCCAACCACTCAATTTGACTACGATCTGAACAACGATGAAAGCCTGACCCAAGAGGGCCCAAGCAGGATTTCGAGAACCGGTAAAAAACGTCGGACCAATGCTACATTATCAGCAGTTGATAAACTCGAGCAAATATGCCAATCTGCACGAACTGGGCTCGCAGAAGATGAATTCGATATTTTTGGGAGCCATGTAGCGGCTAACTTAAGAAAATTAAGTGTAGTCAAGGCTCTTGACTGCCAAGCCGAAATCAACAGTATTCTGACCTATGCTCGAAAATCAGAACTCACTGCGTTCAACAACCCCGACGTTAACGTAACGACTGACAATAAAACTTTGTACAGGTCATGTTCGTTTACACCAGAAAGATTTGGAGAGATAGAGTTTGAAACAACAGGATTGGAATATACCAGCATAAATACGCTTCCGGCGGAGACGCTGACAGCAACCAGTGCTCCCGAAGTTACAAAGTCATCCGCATGTTCTACACCGGTTCAAAATGAAAATTCGGCCATAAACGGAGAAAATCTCCAGGTATATACGTCTTCAACCAACCTCCAACCCGAAAAGCAGCCACTTTGTGCCACACAGGCACATCCTGAGTCATATCCGGTCGCCATTAGGAAAGTTGGTGGTGCTGATCCATGGAATCAACTAGTTTGGCATGAGGGAAATTTGAATTCCGCGCAAGATCTGCTTTCGTTAGCTATTCAATCTATTATGGATTGAACGCATAAAACAAGTAAGTATATTCAAAAAAATAATTGAGGGAGTTTCCATTAAGTATGTCACGCGAAAATCACCACCTGCACCATTATTGTACCACGCATACTACTACTCCTCTGCTCCTAAGACCGTGACCTACTTAATGGATCGCCCCGTAAGTTGAAACATTAACAAATATTTTTGCAGGTTCTCCTTCCGACGGTTATTCAAACAACAAAACTATAAGAGTGATTGGTAGTCGGATTTAATATTTCTTGGAGAGGATCGCACATTTCTTCGTTATAACTTCGATGTATTCTTCTTTTTTATTTGCTATTTTGCGCATTTACCTATCTAACTAAAAACAGTTCTGAATAAAACAAATTGATAACACTTCATCTTTGTGCACTTTTGGATTTATTTCTTAAAATCGCCCTTTTGGACCACTGTGAGGCGGAAGTAATGCACGGCTTGTAGTACTTGTAAACCACACCTGCATTCAGCCTTCCCTATGCTGGTGCGGATGGACAAGCCCTCCCGTCGGTTGCAGCAGGCCCATGGCGGTTTTCAACAGGGTGAAAACCGCCATGCCGGCACCCATCTCGTCAACCTGGTGTGGGATAGCAGATAGTGAATTCATTTGAAAGACTAGTGACTTTGGTCATAATATAAATTAAAATACAGATTCTCTAGTCGAGATTAGCCACTTATATTTTCTTCTCCACTGCAAATCTGGTCTTAAATAAGTGGAAAACTTTAACTTTTCTCTGAATCTAATCACACTTTATGTAGAACAAAAGTTTTCCCAACATCTTGATCTAGGACTGCACGCTGGCAGCGCGATTGGCGTTGAATCAAAATCTTGGTTCCGGCATTGTGTTTTTGCGTTCGGGTCTTGTTGAAATATTCGTAGTTTCCCTTGTAAGTGTTGATCCGCTGCGAATACATATACAGCATATCCTAAGGAACCGTATCGAAGAAGTTCCGGTCGTGGAACATGTGGGAATTGCATGTTGATTTCCGACAGTTCGTGGCTCAGTGGATCCGGCATAGATCTGTGCGTTCAGTTCCTTTTCCTTTCGCAACGATTCTGACCGAACCAATGTGTCATCACCAAATCCTGCTCGACGTGCAGAATCGTAATGTGGCTTGGAATCTGCTATCAAATGAATCGGAGCACCCAGAATCTTGGCCGGCCCTCCATCACCACCTCCGCCAACGGCATAAGCACTGCACAGTTTCACATCGTGTAGAATTGCCCCGATTGTTTCGTAAACTTCCGTCTACAAAAAAAAAACGTTACGTGTTTAATCTTAAGACCCCCAATAAATACACCAATAACACTACTCACCTTACACGACACACGTCTAGCAGTTCCCTCTCGATCGAAGGGAATTGCTGCTTCCGGACTTTCGTACAGACAGCCATCAAACTCACGGCAAAACGATTCCGAACCAATGCGCGGTATGGTTCACTTTTAGAACAGGAACCGACACGGATAGTACGGTGAAATTGACGGAGAAATGGTTACAACCCGGGACGGGACATGACAATCGAGCTTCTCACTCTTCTTAATGTTTTTGAAGAATGCCCTTCGGAAAGTTGCGCGTGGTGTTTGAAGGAGTAGACCAATGATGCCAGGAATGTAAAATATTTTTCTATTTTAAATTTGGATTTTATCCGGAGTTTCTTCCGCAGTCTAGTAGCTTGAACATCATTTTTACTCAACACAATAAAAATAACCATAAACAAACAACAATACCCATCGCTTAAAACACGCAGTGCACTCAATTTTTCAACTCTCCTTTCGCAAATATAAACAAATAACAACGCCATTGACGTCAACATTGATTCCGGCATCACTGCCAGCCAGATTGATGCGATCCCTCTATCCTTTTTATTCCACGATTGCTACTGTCAAATCGACCAATCAGAAACTGGCTCGGATTTGACAGAAAATTGGCTCGAAATCGCTACCCGATTGTCAAGTCCCGTCCCAGGTTACAACCAACGCCGGATAATTCCGACGTTTTTTTTTCTGTTTTCTGCTGACCGATGATAGGAGGGCAGTGGAAAAGCATCAGCAAATGAATAGAAGAGTGAGACAACTAGGAGCAGGCAGGGTTGCAAGAATTTTAAGTGATAGAGTAATCAACGATGAGCTTTGAAAAGGTCGCATCTGATATTGTTAACAAGGATTCAATCTATGTTATTCAATAATATTTGAAACTCAATCACCATCACTGAAACTAACTTTTTATATAGGAAAAATACATAAAGATTGTTAACTGATCCTATGAAATCGTCGTTCTTTGATCTAATCTGAGTGAATGGAACTCAATGTGAGGTACTTATTTATTTATTTTTAGTCTGGATTTTATTCTTACACCAACTAATTATTGATTTCGTTGTTGATTATAAAATAATCATTTACTGCCATCATTTAACAGCATTTAACTGCCATGGGACGGCACCTTTAGTTAAAAAATATTCTGCATAGTTTTCTCGGATAGCAGATGCTTGACGGGTGTGATTATTGCTGCCTTGTCTTTCGAGATGTTCCATTGCCATTGGTGTTTGCCTCCAGGCACCGGGTATAATATGACCTGTATCTATGTTCTCTACATCTATCATGCCGGTTGTGGTATAAGTTGACGGAGATGTTTTCCTCAACCAATTATGTAATGCTGTTGTTGCTTTCACAACGCAAGTAACTTTGTCTGGACTCAGAGGATTCGGTTTCTCATAAATCCTGAATTTGGATACTAGTAATCCAAACGCATTTTCAGAGACCCGCCTTGCTCTGCTGAGACGGTAGTTGAAAATTCTTTCTTTTAAAGTCATATTTTTCCGAGAGTATGGCTTCATCATGTACGGTTTCAATGGAAAGGCGTCATCGCCAACAATGAGTGTTCCCGCAGGATTCCCCAATCGGTTTTCTTCCAAGTAGCGTAGAAGTGAGCTCTCCTGGAACAACCCACCGTCTGAAATCCTCCCTTGTGCACCAGCGTCGATGTATATGAACCGATAATCGGCATCTACTAAAGCAAGTAAGATTATGCTGTACGATCCTTTATAATTGTAGTAGTCTGATCCACTTTCCGGAGGATTTCGTATAAGAACGTGCTTGCCATCTATAGCACCAAAACACCCCGGGAAATTCCATTTGGTTGAAAATGCTTGAACAATCGGCATCCATTGCGTTTGTGAAGAGGGAACCTGAAGATGGGTACAAAATTTGTTAGTAATATATATTTATATATATTATTATTAATGTCTTACGAAAATGTTACGTTTATTTAAAATAGATCAATTTAGATGGTCAAGTTTTGAACCAACCACAGCTTGCTTTTGGCGCTACTGTATATGGATAACAAATATAAAATACTGTGGTAGCCACTGCAAATTTCTGTAAAAAGCTCAGCATTTTGATTGATCAATAATAATAATAATAACAATAATCATTCCGTACCAACTCTGTAAACCACACTTTGTATCGATTTTTTCTTGGCAAAGGAATCGCGTATTCGCCCTTATGCATGTTCACTGTCGAATTTAGACATAATGTGGACCAACAGGTCTGTGCCATAAAAAGGGAGGAAATTTCTAGATAAACATTTCAAATGGTGCTATCTGCATTGATCGATTCTCTTAATCGACTTTCTCTTTGGTAAATAATTCAGCTGCAAAACCTTTCCCTTTTGTATTTGACGTTTTGAATGCTAGATAAGAACAACCTTCGTGAAACTATGTTGGAAAATTAGCGCGAAATCTGTTTGCTTAGCAGTGGTTATCAAAAGAGAAAGTCGATGAAGAGAATCGCTCAAAGCAAATAGGACCATTTGAAATGTTCATCGAGATTTAGACATCATTTTGTGGGCAATGTTTTTTTTTATGAAAGACAAATGTAAACATTGCCCCCAAAAAAATCCTTCAGGTGGTGACGTCACCTTACAAGAGATAATTAATTTTGTAAGTGAATTTTTTATTGGTTGGTGGTATACATAACTTTTAATCGGAATAAAAAAAAGTATATGTAGTTTATGTTTCAGCCGGGAGTTGGTGTTTACTGCTAGCTCACAAACCGTGGGTACCTAATTATATAAAACGGGTCAAGAAAACGGCCAATTCGACCGCACGAGGGTTGTTTAAATCTGCTACTGGACGGAACGGCTTGGTTTATTCACTTCAAGAAAGAAAATGGTAAGTTCGACAGTGAGCATTCATAAGGGCGTATACGCGATGATCGATTCTCTTAATCGATTTTCTCTTTTGTTAATAACTCGCTAGATTTAACGTTTGTCGGTGCGTTTGCTGTTGCTTTTGATAGCCAATGCAACCTGTTACAACTCTACATTGAATAAATTCTACAAAATTGTTTCGCTTAGCTGTAGCAATGCAAAGAGAAAATCGATGAAGAGAATCGATCATCGCGTATAGGCCCTTATGCATGCTCACTGTCGAGTTGCTCAGCAAGTTGGATGTGAAAGTAAGTCGGGATTACGTGTGGACCAAGCGAGGAACATGTATTACAGCATACACTGCACCAAGTAAATTACATTTTAACACAAAAATCGGGAATGGGTATAATAATAAAGTCCAGGATTAACTTACCTTAATGAAATTTTTCAAGGATTCGTAAATAGCTTCCAAGGTTTCTACCAGAAATGTAGAGGTTGTACATTTTGGTACTCTATATAAAAATTCCAGACTCTTGAAGGAGTCTCCGGTTGCAAGATACCTCAAGGTAATCATGAGCTTTATATGAACCGGTATAGCCGAGCGCATCAATGTGTCCTTTTTCATAATTTTTGGTCCAACTTTCGTCAATAGTTCTTCAAATTGCACAGCATTCATCCTCAAAAAATTTCTGAAATTGTATGGGTCTTCTAATCTTAGCTCATTTGCTAAATTATCAGAGGCTCCTTGAACGGCTCGTCGTTTAATCCAATCTTTTATCCACAAGCGTTTACGTTTTCGACTATTTTTTAAGTTTTCCGCCAATTCCGCAACCACAACTAGCACATTCTCAAGTACAGCCTTTTTTGCCAGTAATTTCGCCATGTTTAGAGATTTTGAACTTTTGAACCACAAATTTATTTCAACAGCCTAAGAACTTGACTCCAACTCAACTAAATTCAACTCGCTTCAATTCAAGTGAGTTTATCAACTGACTTGCCTCGTCTAAACAAACAGATTCAATCGGATTGAATTCAAGTGACTTGAATCAAGTGAGTTGATCAATTGACTTGCCCTGTCTAAACCCAGCTTTAAGCATAGTACACAGATCGAAGCGAAACGAAATTTGAAGCAAGAGAAAAATCCTGAAATTTCGCTAGCGAAAAAGGATGTGAGAAAATGGTTGTGGAACGTTTTCTAATTTCCTCTTTTCGCAGTTCACAGTTCACGTGAAACGAAATCGATCAGTTTACACCTCCGGCGAAGTGAAAATCTGACGGATACGCTCTTTCTCAAAACGTTAACTTTTCGCTTAGCTACTATTCTCAAGCAGCTGCATGCGTGAAAAAAAGTAAACGTAAGCGAAAAAGATGCGATCCGAAAAATTCGATCGTATCTGTTAACAGTTCAGTGAAGTGAAATTTGTTCAATTAATTTTTTCACGCTGGTGAAAAATCGATTATTTTATATGATATTTGCGCTTCGCTTCGATCTCTATACAGACTTTTATTGTTCGGAGAAGAGTGGGAGGCGATGATAATTTTGTACTGTCGAACTACTAACGATTGCCACGAGGCTCGTGCCACCATCAAACCCTGCCTGAAGGTTGAGAAACAACTGAAATTGGAGCCCCATGGGAAGACAAATGGTAATTTGAATGATGGTTTAGTACAGGGATGGATTGGAATGCAGAACTCGGTGAGAGCTTTCCAGTTACAAATTATGTGCGTTACGTTATCGAACTCGAAATCTTCTTGTTGATGGCTATAAAACCCAGCTTATACAATTTTCAAGTGATCTAAGGACTAGACATGGGATGATTCCCATTTTCCTTTTTCTTCTGCAATTGCTTTTTCTTACCATTCCTCCGTTTCTTTTCAGAAAGCCAGTAATGGCTCTGTAACAATAAGCCATATATGTAGGGATAGAACAAGAGTAAATTCTCATGTCCCAACCCACCAAGGAAGATAAAAACATAACAAAGCCATCAAAGAAATTTTTAATAATTTTTAGCCTTCAATCTCCCACGGACCTAGCTACAGATTTGAAACTCAAATAAATTTGAGATATTTGAGTTTTTTTGTTCTCAACAGTCAAATCAGCCGCATGGCCGGAAGTGTCGTTGAAGTTGGCATAATTATGAGCCACCACCCGTCAAGGAGGATGGCCGGTTTCTTACGTTGCAAATCATACATTTCCTGCCATTTTTCCGGAAAGAAGTTGGCGCCGTTGGATTTCCTGGAATTTTTTTATGTAAAAAAAGTCCAAGGAATCGAATTCCAGTATCCCTTTCAATTTCAAAGATCGAGGAATGATTCAATTCACCCATTTTCTCCTACAAGTTAAAATATTTGAAAATATCGATCTATAACAATTCACAACTTTAGTAAAGACATTTAAAAGCCACGATACTTTATGTAAAAGGAAAGAAGGAATCAAATTCCAAAATCCTCTATACTGTCAAAGTATACTGAAAAAAAATAAGAAGCAATGACTTTGACTTTGCAATTTGACTTTGCAATTTTAATTCTTGTTTATCATGCAGTACCATTCTCATCGCTCTCCTTTTCACTTTCATTTGATACATCATCGCGCATCGTCTCCTTATCATCACTTTGTACATTAATATCGTCTTCATCGTCGTTATCCCTATCATCTTGCTCGGAATAGTAAAATGTCATCTGTCGCTCAAACACTTCATCTTTTACTCCTTTCCGTGTGCGTTCTGGCAATGCGTTGGATGACAATGCCACAGACCTTATATTCCTGAGGTTTTCTACCAACTTCTGGCTGATTCCCAAAAAGTTGGAGAAGTTCTTTGGATCAGCGAGGAGTCTTCGAGCCGTGTTGATCGTTCCATTATTGGATGATGATGATGGTCCCACCTCTTACCCCTAAAAAGGTTTGAGCTGGACGATTTATCTCTAAGATAATTAAATATGAAATTTTAACCAGGTTAGCAAACTAAATCGAATTGGTTACAGTTACAGATATAAATCCCCTCTTGAGTTTACAGTTGCTTATCAGCGATATAAATGTGGAAAAGCTCAGGCCTCTTAGTTCGCCTTTTTGTCAACTTAAAATATTCATACGTATTACAAGCAATCAAGAGTTAATGAACATTCAACAAACCATCCTGTAGCCGTATGCGTGATAATGTTTGCACCATCGTACAAATAAGGTTCCCGTTTCACGTGTGCATACATTGCCTTGGTTTTCTTTGCATGCACGTAACCTATAGCTTATACCGCAGTAGCCTGTGTATAAAAGAAAATGATTTACTTAGTTTGACATTTGTTCGGACCACCAACCGGTGCTGACCGAGCTGGGCTGCAACGTGACCCCTGCACCGTGCCTGCGGAAGGACGACCATCGAGTCAACTGGGTCCAGTTTCGGCGCGTGGTCGACCGCCACATCGACGACAACCCACCGCTCGACACAGTGGAGGACATCGACTGGGCCCTGGAGGGTCTCCATCAAGCCATATCCGTGGCTGACGAAGAGTGCGTTCGACGAGTTCCTGTGAGGGGTAAGTTTCAAGCAATTTATTCCCACACCAAACTCTTGATTCGGCTCAGAAATGTTCGTAGACGCCAGTTGCAGTGGACTGGGGATCGCGTAAATACGAAATGGTCGATCTGAATCGGCAGATTGCTTCCAGATTGGTCTCAATCCGGAACGAGAGTTTCGGGCGGCTCGTTCAGAACCTGGACGACCGTTCCAGACCATTCTGGAAGGTTGCCGAGGTGCTGAAGTCTCACCCCAAGCCCATTCCACCACTTAGATTCAATGACGAATGGCTTATCACCAACGAAGAGAAGGCCAATGCGATTGGGGAGCACATTTCCCAGTCGCATTTGCTTGGCTCCACAATCCCAAGTCCACTCGAGAACCAGGTTGCGCAGTGCGTCCAGACGTTAGATGCCCCTTGTGCCGTCCCTTCAGAAGAACGGATTACAGAGGGACAAATTTGCTCAGCGCTGAAATACAGTAAGAACATGAAGGCTCCCGGGTTTGACGGAATATTCAACCTAGCGTTGAAAAATCTCAGCTTACTCGCTGCTAGCTGCCATCCTCAACAGTTGCTTGGAGCTGCACAAGCATCTGGAAGGTGGCAAAAATCATCCCGATCCGCAAACCTGGGAAAGACCCTTCACTACCGTCAAGCTACAGACCGATTAGCCTGCTCTCAGCGCTGAGCAAGCTGTTCGAAAAATTGATCCTCAGCCGACTGAACAAGTTTGTGGAGAAACATGACATTCTTCTTCCGGAACAGTTCGGGTTCCGTAAGGGGCATTCCACCAATCATCAGCTAGTGCGGGTGATGAATAACATCCGAAGTAACAAAGCTGTATCCAAGTCCACAGCCATGGCCTTGTTAGACGTCGAAAAGGCGTTTGACAATGTCTGGCACGACGGGCTTATATACAAGCTTTGTAACTCCAACTTTCCACCATACCTTGTGAAAATCACCCGTAACTACCGCCAGCAAAGGTCGTTCAGGGTGTCGTTCCGATCCCAGTAGGTGTTCCGCAAGAGAGTCTGCTGGGACCACTGCTTTACAGCATCTACACGTCGGACATCCCTCCTCTAGGAGACGGTTGCGTGTTCTTCCTGTTCGCAGATGACACCGCGATAGCCGTCAAGGGTAGGATGCCTCGTGAAATTACAAACAAGCTCCAACGATGCCTTGACACCTTTACTGATTATGCCACCCCGTGGAAAATCAAAATCAACGCCTCGAAAACCCAAGCGATCATGTTCCTTCACAGACAATCGCCAAAACTTTAACCGTCTCCCTCCTGTACCGTAATAATGGATGGTACAAGGGTCGAGTGGTCCGCTGATGTTACTTATCTCGGTATGTTGTTCGACGAGAAGCTCCTGTTCCGCTCGCACTTAGAGAAAACCCTAGTTAAGTGCTTCGCCTTGGTTAGGTGTTTGTATCCGCCCATTTGCCGCAGATCCCGCCTCTCAAGGCAAAACAAACAGATCATAGCCCCCGCGATCTTCTATGCCGCCCCAGTGTGGGAATCGTGCGCTCAGACCCACAGGAACAAAATCCAGGTTGCACAGAATAGAGTGTTGTGGATGATCCTAGATCGTCCATTCGACACAAGAATAGCAGACCTCCATCAAGAGGCAGAAATTCCCAAAGTAGATTCCAAAATTGAGGATATGACAACCAAATTTATCCAAAAATGCAATCTTTCTGAACATGCTTTAATAAGCAATTTGTACATAGTAGGTTAAGTGTATATAGTAGAGTAGGTTAGTTTTAAGCTGTAAATAGTAGTATTAAGTAGTTTCTCTTCAAATTCTAAAAACAAAACGAACCAATCCCACCAAGGTGGTCGACCGTGTACTAAGTCTAGGACTAATTCTGTAAAACAAATTTTGAATTTTGCCCATACCTAAAGATGAAGAAAGCAATTAAATCACTTAGAAAAATGTATATGGTAATCATCCAAGTTGAACTGAAATAAAGATCATTTAAACGAAGTAAGTAGTTTGACATTTCATCATTCTCTGCTTGACCATCAAGCTGTACAGTCCGGTTCTCTTTTCGCTCACTCTTTAGAGTAGTTCGGTGTTTTAAGTCGGTCGTGGTACCCGTCGAGAGTTTTCGCTTTGGCTAGCAACGTGTCGTCAGTTCTCGCCTCTCTTGTGGCAGTCG